ATTATTTCTGCAGTTTAGCGCCATCTGCTGTCAGAGAGTGTCTCTCACATGTTCCGCCATGTGCTTCTCCTCCTCGCTTGTTTACATCAGAGTGCGCAAGCGTCTTTCACGCAGCATACAGCGGTGTTGTGCATTTTGACCAGTTTATGGGAAAAGTATTCTTAAAATGCATTCAAAATTCGGAATAATTTGTAATATATAATTATTCACGGTATTTAGAAGTGCCCACGATAACAATATCGTGCATATTCATTACCGTGATATATCGCATACCGAATATATCACAAGTCTATGCCCTAGGTATTTTATTATTATAATTTATCTTTTCTGTTATGTCTATATTTGTTTTTAATTTTTTTTTATTGTATATTTATTTTAAATAATAATACCAAAAATATAATAATAATACATTATTCCATAATAATATAAAAATATAAAAGTCTAAGGATTACTGCATCCATGTTGAAACAGTTGTTGAGAACCTCCATTTCTCCTAAAAATAACAAAACATTTCTTAAATGAATATCTTCAATAAAGCACTGTTTAAATGCCAGAAGGCACTTTAGTGTTTTATGTTATTTATACATGCACATACTACCATCATAAAGTGATGATAAAAACCTACTGGATAGATACATTAACATGGGAATTGATGCTCAAGGCAATATAATGTTTGCAGCCTTTGCTGATGTGAAATGGAATGGTCTCTGACAACGGCCTGTGTGTGTGTGGTGCATTATTAGGAAGCTTTCTCCACACATCATAACGTTGATTTGTTTCATAGAGATGCAGCACTCCACAACCTCAGGCTGGCTGAAGATATGTGTGCTTTCTGTCAATAGCATTATATCTGCAATTAAAATTGCCACGAGCTCTGGAAAATATTCAGCTACAGACATTCCTCATAGTGGCGTTTGCCAAGAATAGACGTAGAAAATGAAATAACTTCTCTTCACTAAATGCTTTCTTATGATTAAGAATATCGTCCCACGGCACTTATGTGCAGCCAGACTTTGACTATCAGCGGAAAAGTTCTCCCACATTGCAGCTTATTGTGTTTTGTGTTGACACGACATTTGGGATGATTGCCAGCAGGGCATTGTCATACGGTTGCTAGGGTGTTCTGGTGCTTTTAACACATTACTGTGTGGTTGCTAGGATGTTATAGGTGGCTTGTTATAGGTGTATGTTATAGTTATAGGTGTTCTGGATGGTTGTAATGTTACTATAAAGTTGCTAGGGTGTTCTGAATGGTTTTAGCATGTTGCTATGCAGTTGCTAGGATGCTCTGGATGGCTGTAGCATTGCTATACAGCATTGCTAGGGTGTTCTGGATGATCGTAATGTTGCTATGCAGTTACTCTGGTGTTCTGGATGGTTGTTACTCATTGGTACACTGTTTCTAAAGTGTTCTGGATTGTTGTAATGTTGCTACGCAGTTGCTAAGATGTTTGGGTTGTAAAACTGCTTTACAGTTGCTAGGGTGTTCTGGATGGTTGTAGCATTGTTATATAGTTGCTAGGGTGTTCTGGATTATCGTAATGTTGCTATGCAGTCGCTAGGGTGTTCTGGATGGTTGTTACTCATTGGTACACAGTTGCTAAGCCCGCACGTGATGGAAATTTACCGCTGATTACAGAAGCGGCTTTACTGACAAGATGCGCATTAAATATCGCATGCGATTTATCGTGCAGCCCTAGTTGTAACATGTTGCTTTGCAGTTACTAGGGTGTTCTGGATGATATGCCGTTACTATGGTATTGAGAGGGTTTTCTTATTGGTCCCTTTGAAAAGAGTCCCTCCTCAGGTCTCAGTGGTATTCTGGTTTGTAGATATGGCTCGAGTTCCTCTTTCAATGTAAGTCTGTGGGATTTTTCCACCTATTTCATCATCCAGCAGGTGAAAACCTTCAGTCTGATTGCTTAAAAAAGTAACAGCACACTTACCATAGGATTAGAGGTTTGTTTGTATTCGCTAATCATTTCGCAGTATTCAGATCTTCTTACTTTGTTTTTATCGCCGTATCTGTGTGATCTTCAGGCTTCGGCCTCCATCATCTTCTTCTGACTAATCTCACGACCCTTGTAATTTCCTCTCGGAGCGCTGCATGTGGCAGTGACTGACAGTAATTCACTCACTGTAATGTCATTTGGCCGCCGTTCCCTCCTGTATCAGACTCTGTTTTGCTCTCCATCAGCAGTTCTGAAGTTCTGCCCCTCTGATGATTGTGTCTCACACTCGTTAGATGGAATTGAACTGAGCTTTTCTGCGCTCTAATAACATGTTTCATTTATACTTAAATTCAATAGTCCTCAGGCACTTTTAATTTGCATATATTTATATATATATAGTTCCCATTTGCATATATTGCAGATATATATTTGCAGCCTTGAACGCTGAACCATCTGCGCTCTTTGAAGTGTGTTTCGAGTATCTAGCAGTCGGTACCAGACGGGAGCTGATAGGGTCCTTGTGTAATCTCTGAATGTTCAGGGGCCGAAGGGAAAAGAGCTTCACTGCAAACACCTGAGGGCCACAAGCTTCCCGATTTCTCTCTCTTTTTCCGCTCTTGCTGTGCAGTCCAAATAATTTAGTCTCTGCTGGTTTCCTAAATATTTAAAGGGATAGTGCACCCAAAAAATAATATTGTGTCATCATTTTCTCACCTTCAAGTTCCAAACTTGTGTGAGTTTGTTTCTTCAGTTGAACACAAAAGAAGATATTTTAAAGAATGTTGGTAACTGAAAAGTTGATGGTAGCCATTTACTTCCATAGTATGGAAACAAAAAACTATGGAAGTCAATGGGGATCATCAACTGTTCGGTTTCCCACATTCTTCAAAATATCTTCTTTTGTGTTCAACTGAAGAAAGAACTTCATACATTCTTCAAAAAATATTTTGAAGAATGTGGATAACCGAACAGTTGATGGTACCCATTGACTTCCATTGTATGGGAAAAAAAATACAATGGAAGTCAATGGGGATCATCAATTGTCCAGTTACCCACATTCTTCAAAATATCTTCTTTTGCTTTCAACAGAAGAAATTCATACAAGTTTGGAACAACTTGTGGGTGAGTAAATTATTTTCTTTTTTTGGTGAACTATCCTTTTAACTGTCTCTATACTTAGTTTACAGTCATAATGTAAATTACTAACATGACCTCATTAGTATCCGCAGGTGTTTATAAAATGAACTGGATTCTGTAGCTCATGATGCAAAGCTGCTTACAGCGGGACGACCTACTTCTTTTACAAACTGCAGTTAGAGAGGCATAATTCAGATGTTATGGAATGTGGGTCTATTCGTTCATTTCAGGACTTGAAAGGCCAATTTAATCTTCCAGGGTGTTCATTTTTCTTTTACTTTACAATTTTGTGCTTCACTTAAAGCAAAACGGCCCTCCATTTGCCTTCATGAAGTCAAGGCAGGCATCCGAATTATATGATAAAATATTAGAATGTTCCAATTAAATCTTAATTGGATGTTTATTGCATTAAAGACCTGGAACTTTTGTAATCTGAATCTAATTGGAAGGTTGTTTGGGATAATATTGCTGCAGCCCCGAGAAACCTTAATCTAATTATTCATTATAGCTTTCTTCACAGATTGTATTTCATGCCACATAACTTTTTTTTTTTTTTTCAGATCAAAGGAGTTTCTCAAAAGTCTCAATAACTGAGGCTATACTTTCAAAAGGTTGTGTATTTCACACTTTCACTAACCAAAAAATACAGTAAAAACAGCATCGTTACTCCAGTCTTCAGTGTCACATGATTATTCAGAAATCATTCTAATATGCTGATTTGCTGCTCAATAAACATTTCTGATTATTATCAATGTTGGAAACGGGTAATATTTCAGTGAGAATAGTGATACATTTCTTATTTCAGGGTTCTTTGATGAATAGAAAGTTTGAAAACTGTATTTATTTGAAATAGAAATCTTGTGCAACATAATAAATGATCAATTTAATGCATCCTTGCTGAATAAAAGTGTTAATTTCTTAAAAAAAAAAAAAAAGGCTTTTGGTTTTTTCAGCACTCATGGTTGTTTTTGTTATTTGCTTTAAAATTAAAGCCTTTTTGCATCTTTTTAATCAATTAGTATTCCCTCCTCCGCTCTTGAAAATTGTACTAACATGCTCTATTGATTTCTCCACGCTAATCTTTGTTCCTTTGCATATAGACCCTCATGCATATGCATGCTGCAGAGGTTTTAATATTAATGCATGATTAAACGATCCACTCAGTAGTTTCAGCACTTGGAACGGATATTGACCCGTTTACCGTCGCATGGAAAACAAATGGAAATATTCAGTAAACATTCAGTAATAACATAAGGCCAATATGATAATATGTGATGTTAAATGAGCAGTTGGTGGTGTCATGCAGAGTTTCCCAAAGGCTCATTAGTTAAGGGGTGATTTCATCTAAATCAGCTGAATAGAAACGAACAGTCAAACTGTAATTAGCAATTATGTTTTAGACGAATGTAAGCAGCAAATTTATGCAGCGCACTAAACGCTATTGAACATCACAGCAGACTTTATGATTATTTCATTCATGGCCAATTGGTAATCAGACTCCAGTGAATCAACATTTGGAGCTTGTAGTTTTGCGTTTGTTTACGCAGCGTTGGCGGACTGATTGCTTTCTTCCTGGATGCTGCGAGTTTGCAAAGGCTTTAAGCTGCGGAAGGAGTTCGCTAACAAACCATGTGTGTTTTGCAGGATTCCGGAGGGACAGTCGGATGGGCCAATATCATCAGGAAGACTGCGGTCTCTTGAGGAACAGCTAAGCCGAGCCAAACAGAAGATCCACAGCTTTCAGAGATTATCTGGAGACGGTAAGAGAGGAGATCATCAGGACCGAGTCTCTATTTCTGAACCCTAACAAAACCTTCCCATACACATGACCCAAGCACTCCATTGGTCGGAATATAATACTAAATGGAAGATTTTAAGAGATTTTTGTTTAGACAGTGCATCTTTAATATGTAATGCAATTGGACAACATTTTAATAAATTAACACAATTGTGCATGCTTTCTGACTATAAGTATGCTTCCTACTGTACAATCAGAACAGTTTAAGCCTTTTAATCGATTGAGTTGTTTTTTTGTTTTTTTCTAACAAGACAAATTTCTAACAAGAATTTCATTTTCTTTGTCAACCAGCAAGGGAATATTTTGTGACAGATATAACAAACTATGCATCATCAGTAGCAGTTTGTTTCCTCAAATTAGGCTGGATTGCTTTCATTCAAATATAAATCTCAAAATGCATAAACTGCTCTCCAGACCCCTGCAGTTCCACCCAGGGCGTAAAATTAAGAGTGAGCGTTGGCGAGAATATGACATTTTCCAAGGAAATCAACCTATGTCTTATTTACAGTTATATATGAAACTGGGATACAATAATGCATTTTAACATTAAAAAAAATAGTTGTTTATATTCTGATTTAGACTTGCAGATTGACGTCCATGTAGGTCGAACAGAAGCACAACAGCATGAGTCATTGAATGTTTGCACACGTTTGTGTGTGTATTCAAGTCTTTGCATGCATAATCATGGCTAGCGAATGGGTCAGGGTTGGGAAATCTCCTTGCTGCAGGATCTGCCAGAAATAACTACCAACATCATCGTCAGCAGCAGCATCGTCGCCCCGGACCAGAAGAGCACAGGTCACAGATGTATAAGAATCATCCTTAAAAAGCCTGTCTCTCTGGCACTGCTTCACGTCCTGTTCTGACCCCTATAAAAGACAGATAGATGCTGTGTGTCTCACTCAGGTCACCTCTGCTGTAATGAGAGCAGGATTAGAGGAGAAACCTACAGCACCTGAACCTCACAGCCACAGTCACAGTACTTATTTGAATGATTCTTCACTAGACTTGAACAGCATTTGCATTAGTTATATTGCACTTGTATCTACAGTATGTATGTAAAGTATGTAATACATTTTTATTTTTATTTTTTTTTAAGTCTATACAGTTTTTACTCATTTTTATTTTTTTTTATTTTATTTTTTTTCAGTTAATATTTATTTCATTTCAACAAAAATGTTTCTCATGGTTTTAGTTTTAGTTAACAAGACCCTGATTTGAAGTTTTATCATTTTAACAAATTTCTAAATGTTCAAAGGAATATATACAATATCTTTCTTAGATTTAGAGATTTGTTTGTAATATTTTGAAACTATTAAATGACAAATATACTATTTCATTTGATACTAAAACCAAGTAAAGCTAAGTAAGTCCAATTAAAATATTTGAAATGTATCAAATACATGTGTTTGTGTTTGTAGATAGATAGACAGACAGCCTAATAGATAGATAGATAGATAGATAGATAGATAGATAGATAGATATGACTGGTTTTAATCGGCTGTGGTTGGTTCATGCGATAAATCTGCCTCTTGTGTTTGTGCGCATTCATCGTTCATGAATCAGTCTGATTGAACAATATAATGGAGTTAATGGGAAAGCTAATTTTAAAAAGTAAGTAAACAACTCACACACTTAGATATAACTACTAAGACTTGATCAGATTTGAAATGGCCTGAAAACATATTTAGCGAGCTTTGATGACTGATGATCCGAAAAATTCAAAAGTAGTTGAAAGTTAACTTTAAAAAAGAAATAAGTTCACAGACCGAGTCTCTATTTCTGAACCCTAACAAAACCTTCCCATACACATGACCCAAGCACTCCATTGGTCGGAATATAATACTAAATGGAAGATTTTAAGAGATTTTTGTTTAGACAGTGCATCTTTAATATGAATGAATATTGAATATGTTTTTATTTTAACTTATTTTAAGTAAAAATGTAAAAACAAATGGAGAATCTGCCAGTTCAGTAAGAAATAAATGCACTTACATTCTCAGTACAATCTACAAAATTAAGTAAATTTGTCTAATTTACACTGCAGTTCCAATGTTTGGGGTTGGCAAAAATGTTTAATTGTTTTAATGTTTTTAGTATCTTATGCTCAGTTGTTTGCTAAAAAATACATAAAATAATGTGAAGTATTATTACAACTGTTTTCTATTTGAAAATATTGTAAAATGTAATTTATTTCTGTGATCAAAGCTGAATTTTCATTTCAGTTAATATTTATTTCATTTCAACAAAAATGTTTCTCATGGTTTTAGTTTTAGTTAACAAGACCCTGATTTGAAGTTTTATCATTTTAACAAATTTCTAAATGTTCAAAGGAATATATACAATATCTTTCTTAGATTTAGAGATTTGTTTGTAATATTTTGAAACTATTAAATGACAAATATACTATTTCATTTGATACTAAAACCAAGTAAAGCTAAGTAAGTCCAATTAAAATATTTGAAATGTATCAAATACATGTGTTTGTGTTTGTAGATAGATAGACAGACAGCCTAATAGATAGATAGATAGATAGATAGATATGACTGGTTTTAATCGGCTGTGGTTGGTTCATGCGATAAATCTGCCTCTTGTGTTTGTGCGCATTCATCGTTCATGAATCAGTCTGATTGAACAATATAATGGAGTTAATGGGAAAGCTAATTTTAAAAAGTAAGTAAACAACTCACACACTTAGATATAACTACTAAGACTTGATCAGATTTGAAATGGCCTGAAAACATATTTAGCGAGCTTTGATGACTGATGATCCGAAAAATTCAAAAGTAGTTGAAAGTTAACTTTAAAAAAGAAATAAGTTCACAAAATAAAATATATTGTTAAATTGTTACTGCCTTGAGTTATTATGATGGACTAAATGTAAAATGCTTAAAAACACTAACTTGATAAATTTCATACTTGGCTTTAGTAAATAGAATATTGATTACGTTTTGATTACTTTTTTTCTTCTTCTTCTTCTGATAGCCAAGAAAATGTGACTGGGACATGAATTTGCATTTGATTAAAAAAAAACTGAGTTCCTGTCAGTATAACTGTGAGTATATATCAGTGACACCACTGATACAGTACATATATAATATATCTTTTGCTTAAATAAATAAACTAGTCTTTATAAGTCTAAATGATAAAACTACAAATATAATAGTTCATTCAACACTGAAACATTTTTAAAATGTATATATTTTATAATAATCTAACCCAATATTTGAGTATTTTTATGCTTGGTATAGTATCACATTGTTAGCTTGGTAACACAACAATTGTGAGTCCTACCGCACACTGTAAAAAATGACCGTGAATTTAACGGTAAAAGACTGTAAAAACAGAGAATCTAAATGAGTCACTTCTGAGGTTCCATTTCAGTTAGGATGCTTTCCCATGTATACAGCATTCATTCAGGGTCACCCGTCCCGGAGAGATTATACCCAGGGGTTTCTTGAAAAGCACTGAATTTAACTTATTACATAAGAGCAAAAGAAGTAGGCAGAGAAGTGTAGAGCGAGAGACGAGTGAACACAGAATCAAAAAGAGGACAGTCGAAATCTGTAGGGAAGATCAGCAGCAATTGCAACCGTTTACATTTTCTTTAAGAACTCACAGTCTATTACAAATCTACCTGCCATCTTTTTATATAAAACACACGTGTCAACAGTAATAGCTGGTAAGTCAACTAGATACATTGTGTACTGAGGCCCTTTAGTTGTGATTATCTTCACAGCCTTTCAGACATCATTGCCTAATTAGAGCACTTTTGAATCTCTCTTCTCTTTGTCAGTTGGTCCGGGTCGAGAACAGGAGGAACTGCGGAGGAAGGTGGAGAACGGAGTGAAAGAGCTGTGGTATTTTATTCGCAGCGAGATACAGAAGCTGAGGCACGTCGAGCCGTCAGACAGACAGAAACACACTGAGACGCTGCTGCAGGACCTCGGTCATCAACAGAGGTCAGATACGTACAGTATGATCACGCTGTTGCTCACTGATGCTCTTTTGTTCCTCAGGGGGATCTGGTCGAGGTTTCATTCAAGTTTTGTCTTTAATTGTAATTCTTTTGGCCGACGTCGGGCTAGTTTGTTTGGTGTGTTCCACTCGTCGGGCTCACGTCGGCGGCAGTTTACCCGATTGGCATCGGGGTTGTCGGGACTGTCGGCGCGAGTGAGAGCTCTGATTGGATGTTCAGTTTAGCGAACGAGTCAGTGCCCGAGAATTAAAGCGTGATGAAAATTAAAAAGTGATGAAAACAAGCACGTAAATGAAGGCGGTACAGACAGAAGGCTGTTTAAATGTTACGTGATCTTTCCCAATCATTCTAATACGCAAATGTTTTCATAACAACAGCCTTAAAAGAGACACAAATGAGACATGCTGAGAACTAGGAGACTTCACTTAGCCTACTCTCATTTAACCTTATTATTGTCTTGGTGAAACAATTTATGTCTCACTCAAAGCATATTTAGGTCTTATTTTGACACATAGTCAAAACAATAATGAAGACTACATTTTGTATGAAGAACATGAATCCTATTTTTCAAAGTATTAAGATTTATTGCATTGTGACAATAGCACATTTACCCACTAAATTCTTTTTAATGTAATAAGAAAAAAAAGTTTTATTGAAATCATAAAGTATTAATGAACCACATGAGTATTTATTGTATTGCCTTTAATTAAAAATACATTATGGTATAATTTTTACTATACTAGAATTTTAACTAGAAGTTTAGTAAGAAATAAGTAAATATTATTTAAAATAAATGTACAACAAAATTATACAATAAAATATATACAATACACACACATGTATATGTATGTTTTTATACTTTTATAAATGTATTTTAAATTATAATAATTTTATTTGTGTCTTTTGATCAACAAGACTGTATTTATTTGATTAAAAAAATAGAGAAAAACAGTAACACTGCAAAATATCATTAAAATTTAAATGAGCTGTTTTATTTTTGAATATCTTGTAAAATTAAATTTATTCCTGTGATCAAAGCTGAATTTTCAGCATCATTACTCCAGTCTTCAGTGTCACATGATCTTCAGAAATCATTCTAATATGCTGATTTGCTGCTCAAGAAACATTTCTGATTATTATCAGTGTTGAAAACAGTTGTGCTGCCTGCTTTAAATCTTAATGTTCCTAAAGCAAAAGATCATTTATTTATGTATTCTTCTGTTTTTGGGGTGAGTTGTGAATGTTCTTGACGGCTTTGATAACATTCAGGATTGTTTTAGGTGAGTTGGATGATGAAGAATTGATGCGCGTCTCTAGTTTCATCATTATGAAACAGCTCCAGATACTAATAGTGCTGTAATAGAAATATAGCAGCACTTCATTTTGAGTTATCACCCGCTAGACTAATTACGGACAGAGACGCTGTCAATATCTCATTATCTCTGTGTCTCTCAGACGCTCCATCAGCACATTCACACCTGTTTTTCCGTTTTGACAAAGAGAAGCGTTCGATACACATTTAACACGGTGCTGTTTTCCAGCGGACGGCTCCCTGAGGAGTCTCTCATTGATTAAGTAATAATTAAACTCCTCATAAACCCAGCATATGCTCATCTGTTTGAGTTAGCAAATGACGCTTTAACAGAATTCATTACTAGTGTCTAAAATTCGATTGTGTTTTGGGCTTTTTGAGATCTTATTTGATTTATTAAAGGAATAATTCATGCAAAAAATTAAATGATCATCAAACATGTTTCAGACCTGTATTACTTTATTTCTTCTGTTGAACACAAAATGAGATGCTGGGCTGAATGTTCATGCTGCTCTTTTATGATTTCATATGATATTATGATTTAGTGTAGCATTTGTTCAGTTTGGTTTGACAGGATTGGATTATTTTGATTTCATAGTTCTGTTCAAAGCGATGCCTCAAACCCAAATGTGACCGAAGGGAGAGTTGAGGTAGAAATGGGATCAAAATATGGTCAAAATAGGTCAAGTATTGTACCACAAATAATCAGAAGTGCTGGGTGGATTATTTATCAATTATAGTCCATTACTGAATTTCAGGTAACATAATATGACTACTTTTAGATTCCTTTTTTAGAATAATCTTGTATCATATTGAAATAAAATAAAAAGAGAAAAAAAAGTTTATCCCATTCGCTATACAGTGCTGGGTAGATTACTTACAAATTGTAGTCTGTTACTGATTACAAATTACATGACAAGTTGTAGTTATTAACATAACTTTTTAGGTTATATAATCAGGCTAATTTTTGATTGCTTTTAGATTACTTGTGACCGATAAGTAATCTGTAAAGTAAAGTGTTCGATATGACGATTTTTGATCGCGGACGATAAAAATGTCTCGACGATCTGCTTTTGAAGAAATATCGTAGTATCGTGCTACAGCGCACATTCTATCAGCTGCAGTTCTTCTGGCGCCTCCATCTCAATATACTGTACAATGCGACATAGGCTCGACATAGGCATAAAATAATGACAAATCATTCACATCAGTGTTAACTCAACGGTAGAGTTACTTTGACGGGACACTGCACCTATTCGCAGTCACAAAAGTACATTATTTGCATGTGCTTTAAAGTCTGTTAAATTACTGTTTAAATTTTTCATTCGCGTGCTGTTCTGACAAGCGCTTTTTCTAAGCGCGCGCACTAAAGCCTGTCAAACAGCGCCTGGTTACTGAATCCTTTGCGCTAATTCTGTCAAAACACACAAGGTTTACATATAGACTCAGTTGATTTATGTCTAAAATGAAAGTAAACAGTTGAGAGAAAAACGGATAAGTGCCTGTATATTAGATGCGTGCTGGTCTTAAAGGGACAGTACTAAACATGCTGCCGGGATAGTTCACCCAAAAATTTATTTTCTGTCATTATTGACTCACTGTAATTATGTATCATTAAGTATAAGTATTATTAAGTATCATTATGTTGTCCCAAACCTGTATTAATTTATTTCTTGTGCGGAACACAAAAGAAGATGTTTGGAAGAATGTGGGTAACCAAACAGTTGCTGGTCCACATTGAATTTAGGAAAAAATACTATGGACGTCACTGTGGACCAGCAACGGTTTGGTTTTCCACATTCATTAAAATAGCATAATGTGTTTTTTTAGCCTTAAACCGCATAAACACACTTCATTACACCAAATACACAAAATAATGTTATTTTTAGCAGCATCATATGACCCCTTTAATACAGTTGCTTTAATAGGAATCAGTATATATAGTGTTTTATTTTTATATTTGTTAATTCAATTTCTTGAATGCTCCTGTTAAATGCACCTATATTGTACCTGAAAATAAAACATTGTTTGTTTTATTTGTATATTATGTATACTTGTAATGTGTATCTTTGTACTCATTTTTTAATAACAAAGATAAAATAATCACAAAGATTTTTATCTTCGCCCAGCAAACTACTTTTTCACTCTTACTTGAGTCATATTATTTTTGAGTACTTTTACTTGTACTCAAGTAAATTATTCCTTAATAAGCAATACTTTTACTTAAGTGCAATTTATTAGTACTCTTTTCACCACTGACTATTACCTTAAAATCTCAGAGGTACTTCAAAAAAAATATATAAGGTGGAAAGTTCAGCTGACAAATATAAAGCATGAGAATCCCTGCATTGCATCGAAATAAGAAATAACATGAATTTATGCATTTTTATGTGGTTGAAAGACAAAGGCCTTCCAAAGACATAGTAATACTGTACAAGGGTAAATTAGGAAGAATCAATGAATATTATTCACTAATGTACTGTCATTTTTCAGTAATATGTAATATTGTCAGCTGATAGAGGAGGATGTTTGAGCGTCTCCTGTGTGTTTCTGTCAGAACCATCATGACGGACCTGCAGGATCTCAGTCAGGCGGACGGAGCAGGAGACTGGAGAGAGAAGGAGGCCAGAGATCTTTCCAGCCTGGTGCAGAACAGGATCTCCTTCCTGCAGGTACAGAACGACCCTTCTTCCTGCTGTTAGTCTTCCTAAAATACAGGGAAAACGGGAAAATTGTGAAATATTATTACAATTTAAAAGAACTGTTTTCTATTGTAATATCAAAGCTGATTTTTCAACATCATTACTCCAGTCTCCAGTGTCACATGATCCTCCAGAAATCATTTTAATATGCCGATTTGCTGCTCCTTTATTTGGAGCTCAATTATTAATAATGGTTATTTTTATTATCTTAATATTATACTTATTATTATATAATGATACATTTTTCCTCTCTCACACTTTGTGCTCCAGAAATGAATCATATCATCAAATCATACCGTTTGTTGGTAAGAAGTCTTTTTTGTCTAAATAGAAAAATCTAGTCAAAACTATCTAAAAATCTAAATTGTCTAATATTTCATTTAGTACTGAAAACAGTCAATAACAAGTTCAATCCAATTTTTTTGGACATTTCCTTTAACCCTAAAACACAATGCAATGTGTAATTCAAAATATGGTTAAAACATATGGAAGCCCATTTCCGCCACGTAAGAAAAAAATTTTTGACTTTGAAATCTTTTTCAAAAAAATTTTAATTTCATTTGAAATAATTGTCCATTACGCTAAGTGTAATTATCACACTCTCCTGACCAAGACATGATTTGAGAAATCATTCTTGTCTGGAACACAAACTAATCGAGTTTAATTAGAGCTGAATTATGTGCAGTAGGGCTGTCAAAAAAAAATAGAATTTCGAATATTCGTCGAATTTAAAATAAAAATCCACATTTTATGGTGTGCGTTAAGGAGGCAGCCTTACCAGTGCTGCACCAGATGCGATGACGATGTAAGTGTCGTTGCATTATAATGTTTTTGTTAGCCTGTCCAGTTGAAGCCACTAGATGCGGCGCTGCTGCGTTGTTCATTAAAAATATTGCGGAAAAAGAGAACATCAATGCGGAGAAGATCTTGTTTACATCAAAACTGAAACCAAGCCGTTCACACAGAACGCATATTTCACGCATTTTCTAGACGGACATCTATTACT